TACACCTTGCTATAGTTTGACCACAATCAGGGATTCTGGCACATCCGGTGGCCATCCTATTTGAGCAATCTCTGAAGACGGGGTATTACCAGGGACTATGGCAGAGCGACAGTTGTTGCTCTATACAAGTCAAGACCTAAGCATAAGGTAAGCAACTATATGCCAGTTAGCGTGACATTCATTCTGTGCAAATGTTTGGAACGGATCATCAAGGGGCAAATATGTACGCACCTAACAACCCACAAACATCTGGCATCAGCGTATGGGTTCACCGGGAGAAAATCACGCCTCACTTACCTGATGACCTTCTTGGTTGAGGTTACCAAAGGGTTGGATGAAAGCCAGCAGGTCGAAGTTTGCTACCTGATCTTCTGCATAGCGTTTGATTCAGTCAGTCATACACTCTTAGACCGCAAGCTACAGGATAAAGGATTACTTGGGGCCGCAAGCTAAGGTCAGGTCAGATCAGGTCAGGTTGCACAGGACTCAATATAACCACGGCCAGTCGAGCGTCTACAATTCCTTGAATGGTATGCTCACTACGGGGACACCCAGCTCTGCTGAAACAATAATGAGTCTTGAAGTCTTGAAGTAGTACTGGGGTTCGAGGCTTGAACCCAATATTCCCGGTTCCGGATTTGTCTCTTTTTCTGCAGTTCGGAACACGAGCTGAAAGGGATATTGACGGAAAAGGGTGCTGGCTCCAATATGGTGCCGCTGGGTTGCATGCATCGGCGGAAAAATCTAGAAGAGGAAAGCGAGGATGTAAGAGGAGGAGCAACAGGGATAAGCGGGATAACGTGGGGGTGTCCTTCAGAAGATGGAGACCAGGTTTTAGAGAGAGGCAGATGGAATTACGCGACTCGCGACAACGATCCGAACTTTAATTCTCCCGTGTTTCTCGCTCACTCAGTATGGATCAGGAAGAACACCCGGTTAGTCGAGGGGAAGTATATTCTTCCCTGAAAGCACCGGAGTTTTAGCCTGACTATGCTCGAGAGTGTCTGAAAGCGAAAAGTGCTTAGAGAGAGAAGGTGTAGCACTGAACTCACGCACCGGTAAATGTGAAAGTTACTTCACCCGAGGTGGCAGTGACTTAACAAAGATAAAAGAGTTAGCTGAAGGAGCCGTCTCAGGATATCGAATATCCTGGGGGAGTCTATGCTAAAAAGGCGAAGGATTCACGAGCGAATGCTCCAAGCCATCAATGCCTGCAACCATGCGAAAGCATATACGCGGAAGAGGCAGACAAAGGTGGTGACGACTCTCGAGCATGTTACACTGTCGGTCACAAGCCACTACAATTTAGGTTAGCGGGATGGTAGGCCTTAGGTGTGAGTCTAGCATGGTTTTGAAGACCCTTTTGAAGGGGAAGTTCACAATCTCTAGTGGATGTTTGTTCCATTCTGAGATGACCCGGTACTTGAAGAAGTTGAAGCGAATGAAGGTTCTGGGCCGGTGTTTGAAGAGTTTCCTTGGGTGTCTCCTTACATGTTCCAGGCTAGAGCGTATGAAGAAAAGGTCAACTGGGCCTAACGGGAAGAGGTCATGTAGAAGAAAAAGATCCCCTCTGATACGTCGTATATCTAGAGGGTATATATTTAGCTGTGGTAGTCGGATAGGGTAAGGGATTTCAGACAAGCCATGTACTAGTTTCGTGGCCCTTCTCTGCCAACGCTCTAGTGAGTCGCGGTTGCGAATGAGTTCAGAATGTGCAATTTGGCTGCCATATTCTAAAAGCGGGTGTATGTATGTTACATAGCGGAAAGGGAAGTCCTCTTTGGTTATACTCGGGAAAGATCGTTTGATAAGGTTTAGAATACGAAAAGCGGTTTTACTAGCTTTTTGGTTAGGGGAAGAAAAGGAAAGATTGCTATTCAGCTAGAAGCCAAGAATTTTATGCTGATCCACCAGTTGGATTCGCGTTGAACCGTTTAACCAGAAGNTTCCAGGCTAGAGCGTATGAAGAAAAGGTCAACTGGGCCTAACGGGAAGAGGTCATGTAGAAGGAAAAGATCCGCTCTGATACGTCGTATATCTAGAGGGTATAGATTTTGCTGTTGTAGTCGGGTAGGATAAGGGATTTCTGACAAGGTATATACTAGTTTCATGGCCTTTCGCTGCACACGCTCTAGTGAGTCGCGGTCACGAATGAGATCAGAATGTGCAATTTGGCTGCTATATTCTAACAGTGGGTGTATGTATGTTCCATAGAGGAAAGGAAAGTCCTCTTTGGTTATCCGCGGGAAAGATCGCTTGATAAGGTTAAGAATACGAAAAGCGCTTTTACTGTCCTTTTGGTTATGGGAAGAAAAGGAGAGGTTGCTATTCAGCCAGAAACCAAGGATTTTGTGCTGATCCACCAGTTGGATACGGACTGAACCGTTTACCCAGAAAGGTTGACCAGGAGCGTTACCAAAGGTCATGCTTGCACATTTTTCGTCATTGATTGGTAAGCTCCAGTCGACTGACCAATTTTTTGTTTGGTCAGTCGCCGACTGCACTTGGGATGTGTCTGTGCCCCAGATGGTGACATCATCCGCGTACATGACAATCTCTATAGGGAGACGTTTAGGGAGNAGATCATTAATATAGTTCAGAAATAGGATGGGACCTAGTACGGAGCCCTTTGGGACTCCTATCGAGACTGGGGAGGGTGAAGAAACGAATGTGCCTATTCGAACCGCGAAGGAGCGATTCGACAGAAAACTAGCACTTTCGAAAGCAATCGACCAGTGATGCCATGACTCTCTAGTTTGTACAGGAGAGGGATGTGTGGAGCTCTGTCGAAAGCTTTGGCAAAGTCTATGAAGATCGCGTGCGAAATATGACCTTCGTCATGGGCACGGGTTAAGCTACCCATTAAGGTCAGCATATTGGAGATGTATGACCTGTTTGGTAGGAAGCCGTGTTGGGAAGCGTGTACCAAGCCGTTCTCAGTTAGTTATTATTATTATTATGTCGTACAATACGCCGTTTGATGAGGCGCTCGAAGATCTTACTGGGAATGCTGGTTAGGCTGATGGGCCTATAGCTATCGCCTTTCTTATAAATAGGGATAACAGTTGGCCTCTTCCACTGTTGTGGAAGAGTTCCTGTGTCCAAACACCTTTGAAAGAGATGAGAATATGTGGCAGCCAGCACGTCAGCGGATTCTTTCAGTATACGGTGGTGCACTTCATCCGGACCCATGGAGCGGAAGGAGTTCACGCGTTTTAGTTGTTCTTCCACTTCTGAGACTGTTATGCCAAAGTGACCTAACGGGGATCTGTAGGTTACTGGATGAAGATTGGGATGACTGATTGGAGATGGGATGTTGAAACGTTGATCGAAATGGGACCGGAACATTTCCACCACTTCTGCAGATGAAGTAGCTGGATTACCGTCGGGTTTAGATAGTGCAAGGGCGAATAGAGTGTTTTGCCGGGTTCGTCGCATAAATTTGTATAGGACTGACCGGTTTACCCGTGCCCTGGCTAAAATGCCGTTCTGTTGGTTTCTCTGGAACTCCGGATCCTTGCTTTGCACAAATTGCGAATGCGGATAAAGTCATTTGCATCTTATGTCAGACCTGTCAATTTGTACCAAGCAAAGGACCGCGAACGTTCTTCTAAGAGGTGACGGATAGCACGCGGCAAGGGGTGTCTGTTTGATGAAGATTTACAGACGCGGGGCACCAGCAGATGGTCCACTGCACGGATACACCGCTCTATTGTGCTGCTTAAAATGTTTACGTCACTTATCTGGTTGGGTTGCGGGGTATGGGCTTGGAGGAA